AAAAGAACGCCCCGAACTCACACAACAAGGGTATTTAATTTGTAGATCTGGGGGGTCAGGTGGTTCCCCGGGGGGGGGGGGCACAGGGGAACATTGCCATGAGACAGGAAGAAGCCATTGCCAGCAGCTTAGCCTCTTTCCTCACTGACTCCACAGCCATATTTCTAGAGGCCTCATGCACAGGGAATCAAAAACAGTTCCTCACTTTTAGTAGCACATGCCTCTGTCTCATAACCCCTTTCCAATTAAAGGTAATTATTTGCAGGAAGAATCTCACTTCAGGTAATACAGGGTATTTATATGTAAGCAGATACACGTGTGTGGGTGTGTATGTGTAAGTGTGTACATAGTATATAGCTCTAATACATAGCTAGAAATGTTACATGTTATGTAACATCAAACGGGAAGAAATAGGCTTGCCCTCTGTTTTCTGAAGCCAGCCAAGTTGTCTTCTGTTTTGTTTTATGGCTGATTGTTAAACCCTTAGAGTGTCCTGGTTCCTTTTTGGTAGCATTCCAGTAAAGTTCATAGTGTAATGCTTACACAGAAGAACGTATTAAACATTCTTATTCAAAGGTTAATTATGCCACAAGCAGCACTAGATCTTCTTTGTACTTATTAACTGATCTTTGGACTGTGAATGATATTGAGTGTATGACAAGTCATCTGAATATTTTATTTATCTGTTGAGCATTTGAATAGGGGAACTTGGTCTTCCTATTTTTCTTCTTTTTCTTTTCACAGTAAAGTGTATGGTGTTCATTTTCCTGTGCTACAATTACATACAACTAATTCTACCATGCAGTTCAGTCAGGAAGACTTCAACAAGGCCAAAGAGCAGGTGAAGGTTTTGCAGGATGAGCCTAGCGATGAAGTAAAGTTGAAGCTTTATGCATTGTTTAAACAGGTACTCCAACCATTTACCTTCTTAAATATGTGCATTTTTGAAAAATATCTTTGGAATCTCTCTGTCTCAAAGTTGCACATAGTGTGTTCTGTTTTTAAAACTGCTGGGTTGGTATGCTTACATAAACTTTCCTGGACAGTTTTACCAATTATTTTTTAACACCTATTTTTACTTCTTTATTCTTTAAAATATATCAGAAGAAGAAGAACTTTATTATAGTCAGTGACCAGTGAAAAAAAGTAAAAAGAGAAATACAGCAAAAATATTCATGTACATATAGGTAAGGTAGGTAAATTTACAGTAGCATAAAAATTATAGATCTAAAACCTAAAAAACATGTTGGGTTGATCTAATTAACTAAACCTATATAACCTATTATCTTTAAAAGTTATCTACTTTACAGTCCTTGGTTGGGTGCCTATAAAAATAAGTAAGAAAAAAACAAAGTGGACGAAGTAAATAATTTTATTTCTTACATATCTTATATGTACCTCATAGGAAACTATTTACCCTAGCCTGAATTGGGTACTACCTATTAGGTCAACAATGGATAGATATGTAGGTCTCCCATATGAAAGTCAAACTTGCTTTTGTTTGGACTTGGAGTGTCCAAGTCCAAGTCCAAACATGGACTTTGGACATGAGAATCTGTCTCATACGTGCTATTAAAATGTTGGTTGTACACCCAGTAGCAGTCAAACTTAATGCTTCCAATTGTTAACAACTCTAATTGCCATTGAAACCAGGAGGTTATTACCCTTCTCCTGGGCGACCACCAGAAACCTCTAACAAGGTTGCAAATTTTTTTATCAATAGCTATAGATGTTAGAAACTGTCTCATTCTTCCCTCATGTTACTGTTAGCTGTTAACTGTTTTAGGATTTTCTCGCAATTTTTAAAATTCCTTTTTATATTTATTGTATTGTTGGTCTTTTTCTTGTATTTGGTCTTGGACCAAAATACAAGAAATTTACAATTTTTTATATCCTTAAAGCATTTACACTTTTGTATGGCTTCAGAGTAAAATTTCTAACCTTGTGCTGAAATATTAGGAGCTGTATCCTTCAGCAATAGATGAAGATAATATTCTGTGGACCACCCTTTAAACTTTTTAATAAGTGGAGTTATCCTTCCGTGTTTGGCTTGCTCACAGAAGGAGCAGCTTAGCATTGATTCTGTTTCCCTCATTCCACACTGACAGTCTTTCTGCATATGGAATCTTCTTATAACTGCCCTCCAATACCACAGAAGGGAAAGCATTAATGTGTGCTCTTGAAAAGGCTAATCTATGTTTGCCAAAAATAAGATTTTGTAAACAAATGGCTGGGGTACCATTACTACCTTCCACCAATGAGTGACAGAGTGTAGGGCTTGGGCCAACTCCTTCTGGTATTCCATATCAGCTATCATTTCTTCAGCCATTTTCATGGCATCCTTATACCCCAGTTGGTTTGGTTACTCAAGTGAGAAGCTATAGGTAATGAAGTTGTGTTCACAAACTCATTGCCGGTTGTCTTAATATTTATCCATTAACAACAGTGGAAGTAATCCCCTGAGGTTTAGAGTAACTTTGATCCAAGCTTTAGTATTTTAGACCAGGCCTGAGTTTCCACACTTGGCCAGCCTACTTCCATTCTCAGGATTACATGAGACATGCATCTGGGAGTATCTATTATGGCTGTAAGGAAAGCTAATTGAATTTATTCATAGGTTATAAAATGTGAAGGTGGATCCACTTGTATTTCATATATCATTTGGACTAATTATTTGGCCTAAAACACCTTAATTGAATTTCCCTCCTTGTTTTTTCTGTAAAATCTTAGAATGATTGTGGCACTCCTCTGTGCCTTCAAAGTGGTGTAGGTAAATTGAGTTTTTAATTTCCTATTGCTTTGGAAAACAGCCCCTAGATACTTATACTGATTAACCTGTTCAATTATATGGTTATTAATGGTCCATTTGTGCTTTTGCTGTTGCAAAACACTAAAATATCTATCATCCTTTTTATACAAAGATATTAACTACTGTGGCTACCTCCCAGTCATCCAGAATCCTGGCTTTATAATTAATGTATGTTAATAAAGAGGTTAGCACTGGAACCCACCACTTTAACTTAGATTTGATGAGCTCAAGCATTTTGCCATGTTTAATTTCTCTTGTCAGGTAGGTAACTTTTTTACTCATTATTGGAGGCCAGTTGGGAAGCTCTGGTTGGAAAATGATTAACATAAGGTCCTCTCTAACTGGGTCCATGGTTGGAAGAGTATAAAGGTCTTCAAAGTATTTTTCCCATATCCCAGCTGGGGTTCCACACCAGAAGTGGGAAGGGCCAGTATAAGCACTTCTTGCTATCATTTTCCAGAATAGGGAAATATTCTATGATTTAACAGCCTCACTTAGTCACTGTCAGTTTTGCTTTTCTGTCTGACATTTCTTTTCTTTTAATAAGGCTTCATATTGTTTTTGTTAGGTTTTTTTTTTTTTACATAAAGCAGCAAACTTATTGTAGTCCCTAGCTTAAATTGTGCATACACTGCCAATAATGCCTTTTGGGCTGTAATGCAGATACTGTCAAACCATTTGCAAATGCCTTGCATTCACCCTGTATTTGCATTTTTAATCTGTTTTTTAGTCAGTACAACATAGAGTCTTGTTATAAAGGCCTGAAACTTGTCTATCATGCTGTTGTTCTGAGTTGCTGGGATAAAGTTTGAGGTGGAAGTAGCTGGATAGAACATCATATTTCTGAAGGCAGCCAATTCTCTATTTTAGACTCTAGTTGATAATTCCACCTTATTTTCCTTGAACTGTCAGCTGCTAGTGAATTCAGTTGAGTTTTGTAATGGGCCTTAATTGGCCTACTCACTGGTCTAAGGTGTAATAACAGAGCTAGTGGTTGCTTTCAGGTCTCAGAAATAAAGCTAAGTAGATCAGTGAGGTGACTGGCTCTCTAAACACCAATATTTAATCAACTGTGGAGACTTTGCAGTCTGAGCAAAATATATATTGGCCAGGAAAATCACTCTAAACTGAGCCATTTATCATGTTTATACCTGCTTGCTAACTGTACTAAATGTAAGCTGGCTAAATTATACTTTTTATCTAACAAATGCCTTGTTTGTGGGGGGGAGCTTTAAAATGGTAAACAAATCATTATCATTTCAGCCAGTTCTAGCAGTAAAGTCACCTCCAATGATATAAGTTTCATTCATTATAAGTTTAGAGTTTTTCTCCATGTAGCCCTCTAAAAAAGTTTCCAGCTGAGTCCCTAGTTTTTTTGTCTGTGCTAAAAACCAGGTGGGTAGAAAGTAAATGAAATCTTAAAGGTGAATCAAAACTGACACCCCCCACTCATTGAGAATCACTTAAGGCAAGCCTCACCTTTGCTTTCTGTAGAATTCATAGTACGAACCCTATACCATTTAATCTAGCCCTGCTCAGTTACCTTGCATAATGAGTGAAAATGTTCAATAGGTCAGGTGAGGGTTGTTTTTTTTTTACTGCACTTGTGCTTAAGCTTCAAATGACCTCTGTTTTATATTGTTTTATTGCCTTTTTGTCTAAAACAAGCTAGAAAAAGCAATATATAAAGTAAGTACATTCAAATCATTATTGTATTGGGGATGTTGAATTATTAAGTAGCAATAATTAGGATTACCACTTTAAAAAACAACAACGTAGGTTTGAATAGCTATTCTACATGTATTCTTAATCTGCATTATCATTCTTTCAATGGACCGGTGCCAAGATTCAAATGGCTGTTCTGATTGGGCTGCTGTTTCTGTGGCACCATCCACTGCTCTAATCTATTTCTCTTCTATGTCTTCCAGCTCATGCCATGATCGGTAAATGAGAACAGAATGAATATATGGATGAGCAGGAAAACATTATTTGATGATTGCTTTGATACATATATTATTTCAGTCTCCTAAACAAGTCCATCTCTCCCTTTCCTTTCTCTCAGAAAAAGAGTAAATAAGCTATTGAAGCCCTGTACAAATGGTCAAACAATTAAAAAACAAACACCAACTGGTCTGTGACCATAATGAATATTCTTCTTCTAAAAAAGCAAACATTAGTATCTGGGAAGTTGATGGAAGAAAATGTACTCATGTCTATTGATCCAGCCTTGAACTATACATAGGAATATCTTGCAGAAATGGAAGATACAGATGGTGACTTTGAAGCCAAAGCAAATTGGTTGAATTCACGTAGGATTGATGGCCAGGCTAAGATATTGCATGTACAGAGGTGCCCAAGTGCCACATAATGTAGTCCTCTACTTCTTCGTGGGCCAAGGACTACATTATGTGGCATTTGTGCATAATGTTTTGCAAGCAGGCAGCAAGTTCAAATTATGCCTGAAGACCTGTTTTTATACTTTTGATAATTGCTTATGCCAATAGAGGTGAATATGTGTAGCTCAGGGTTGAACTGTGGAGTCCTTGGGGTTCTCTGAGCTTGGTTCTTTTCTTGCAAACATTTCATTACCCGGCTAGGTAACATCTTCAGTGCTATAAGATGTTACCT